CCCCAAAACCCCAAAACCCCAAAACCCCAAAACCCCAAAACCCCAAAACCCCAAAACCCCATTTAAAGGGAGCAGAATAGAGAGCATTAATTCATAGTAAATAATTAACAATGCAAGCTCCACAACCCGGCAGTTACCCAGCTCAGCCCCATATGGGTGCTCCTCATATGCCTGTGACACATCAGGCTCCTGCATATCAACCTTCTCCTCAAATACCTGTTCCAAACGTAGCTGGGGCTACAGGGCCAGTCCAGATTGTATGCCCATACTGCAAAGCATCAGGGATGACAAACACAGTCAAGCAGGCTTCTTCGATGCAGTGGATCATCTGTGTGTTGTGCTTCTTCTTCTGCTTTCCTTGCACATGCTCGCCGTTTTACATTCCAAGTTGTTACAAGATAACACACTCATGCCAGTTCTGTAAATCCCAGATAGGCACTAACAATAAATAATTCATAATAAACTTCACAAAACTAATTTTTCATGAGGGAAATTTAAGATGAAAATGGCAAATCCATGTCTTCCAGTGTGCCCATTGGGCTCTTAGTTATCCAGCAAGAGATCCTGTTGATCATTTGTAGGTTAGAAAGGAACCAGGTCAATTGGATTTATTTTAATTGCTAAAAAGCTAAATACTTCCAAATTTGGAATACCTAAAATTCAAAATTATGCTTTAAAATACATATAAACAGTAAGGACAAAATTATGCAATTTCTGATAAGTGAATGGTCAACATAAATTGAACCATTCATTCAAGAGTGTGATGAAGGATTAATGAACAGCATGCTGATATACTAATCCATAACAGCAGTCTTGCTTATTTGCACAGAGCTTGCAGTTATAGAGCTTCCGAGTCTGATGAATAAAACTCGAATTTTGGTATATCAAAACCATTCAGGAATTTTACCGATTCTCTGACCACAGTATTCCTAGAAAATCCAATTCTGCTCTTAGCCTCAAATTATACTATTCAATCAGAATGATTGGGGAGGGGTTTTGGGGTTTTGGGGTTTTGGGGTTTTGGGGTTTTGGGG